AAAAAAAAAAAAGAAAAGAAAAAAAACAGACTAACGTGAAACCTACAGTATCTACTCTTCTCCGTTATTAAGCAAACTCGAAACATCGTTTCAACGGAAGCAACAATTCTTCCGATGTACGCATACTAACCGTGGTTGGAAGCGGAGAAAGATAATCCGGTTGTAGATATTGATTGTGTCCAGTGGTCAGCATCCCGCTCTCCTCGAGGACAACCATTTGGTTTCACACTTATTGAGCCACTGCACAAGAACTACAAAGAGCGAGAAACCTTCACAAATCGCGAAACGGTAAGCGTAAACTCGACGACGACTCTCGAGTATTATCCCGGAGCCACGGTATTCGGTATTACGACGGTTGGTTCGGCGAATCCCTCCGTGATACGAAACGATTAAGCGGAAACGACGTACACCAAGTGGAATCCAGGAAAATAGTGGCAGCTCTCGACGGAGCTGATCGGTGGACGGAGTGGAATGCGACCGTATCGCCATCTGGCGACGCAATCCGCTCTCTTCCCCTCCTTCTTCGACGAAGCCAGAGTATATAACCTGTCCTCTCTCGTCGTCCCCACCATTCCTAGCCGGAGGATTATGGTGGGAGAATTGCGGTGGGGTTTGGCCCTGTGTGGGGTGTGGGAAGGCATTCTAATTCAACACGCCACCCATGATGTTGGCCCGACGATGACAGCTCCCATCCCGGCTTTGATATTTCACCGCTTTTACAGCCGTCCATCCCCCTCCCCTTCTTCACTCTCTCACTCCTTCTCTCTCGCTCTTCGACTCTGACACACACACATACACACATATGCACTTTCTCTCTCTCTCTTCTCCTCGTTCCATCTCCCCTTGCTCTGCACACCCGTTCCTCTCCCCTCCCGTTTGCCTGCCATAGCTACCACGACACGGAACCGTCCCTGCCACCACGGCAACCCGATATTTTATACCGTGAAACCTGTCTGTCTCTCCGGCCGGCCCCGCTTAATAAGCAGCTTTCAAAATAGAAATGTAATGGGTCGGTGGGGAAGGGAATGTCGGGTGATTGATTGCTCGCTCAGCGACTTACCGACTTGCCACAGCCCACGGGGGTAACGAATGACAGCCACTTAAGCGCTGTTTGCCTACAGTTTTGTAAAAGCGTTTTAATTATCGCCCCGGCCGCGCCTCGGCTTTGTCGCGCACTGACTCGCACCGGATACTAAACGATCCGAGAGCTACCGATCCTCTTCGCCTTCTCGACGACTTCCGTGCTGCTAAGATAATACCCATAAATAATGCAAAGCCATCGCGACGTGTGTACTGGTCGGGAAAGGGGATCGTCGTTTACTACCTTCTCAAAATGCAATGGCATTCGCTTTCAAATTGAACGCTCGAACAGTACACGTCTGTAAATGATTTCTCGAACGCGGAAAGATGCATTCTCATCTTTGCGACTGTGTCGCAACGTCAGAGTCGTTGGTGTAACGATCGATAATACGTACATTCCAGTTGGAAAGAAATGTCGTTCTTACGACTCTCGCGTGGAAACCACTTTCGCGCAGTGTAATTGCGCATATGTGTGTGTGTGCCCTCGGAGCACACAACCAAGGCGCAGGTTCCGAGTGTCTTGCGCGCCGTGTATTTAAAAGCTGACCACGCATCGCGAGCCGCAATGAACGTGGTCATTAAAAAATTCGAATACCAGCTGCGCTGAAATTCAAACGTACCGGCGCGGTTAGGGGATCGCGGCCGTTTCACGCGGTATGACTTTAAGTAAGATAAAGCGATCGGCGTAGCAGTTACGTTACAAGGTAATTACAACGAATTATGACAATATCCACACGGACGTTACACGGTTAGGGTTACGTAGACCGCGTAGCCGCCGCGAGCAATAATTAGCCACCGAGGAACACTTGGCGCTGGCTGGAATGCAAAAACGGCCAGTGTCTAAGAAATGTCGGTCGTCGTTTAAATTTGAATTCATAGCGTTTTTCGGAGTTTCCGAATGGCGTAACGTAATGTACCGTGAAATGTACAATCGTCCGCAGCGGCAAAGTATTTCTAGATAAAATTTCAATCTTAAGTCAGCTTTTTAATGCGACCCGCTATACCCCCTCGAAGGCTTTTAGGTAGAAACAAGCGAACGAGGGGGGAAGAGAGATAAAGATTACGGAGCCGTGTGTTCTCTCTGCTAATTTAGAAATACGTGCCATACAGTTTGGGCCGACAGTCAGATAAATAATATCGAATCGCGGTATCCAACTTGTGGTGTATATCCAGTTGAAAATTTGCGAGACATTGAAGGGATCCAAGAATAACGACAAATAACAACAACGGCGAGGATCGATATTAATGATCTCCGTGCGCATTGAGCATCCATTTTGAATCGAACAGCGGAAGACCAGGTAATATTAAATCTTTCTATCGTGTAATATTTCCCAGAAGAAATAAAGGTCTCTGGGAGAGTTTTTACTTCCCATTGTATGTCTGTCCTTGTCTTTCTGCGTCCCTCTCGCACCCACCCCCCTCCCTCCCTCTTTCTCCTTTCTCCCGCTCTGTTTCTCTGAAGTTATGGCGCCGTTAATACCCCAATGGCAAGTCTTTGACGTTTTGACGCTGACGGATGAGTTTACGGCTAATATAGTTCTCTTTCATCTCTGCCGCTCCTTCAGCCTGCGTTTCGAAGATTTCGAAACGACAGCTACCAGACGGATAAAGATTCAGCTTTTCACGCGCTATACTGACAGCCGCAGTGACATAAACAACGTTTATCAACGTAAAACGTAACGCCAAGTGCGCCCGATACTAAATACAAGGAAATTAGGAGAAATTATGTCGTGTATCGCGTTTTTTTTTCAATCAGACGTGCAGAAATTTTTTCGAAGCTTCTCTCTCTCTCTCTCTCTCTCTCTCTCTCTGCGAGTAATTATCTTTTACAGAGTAAAAGTATTGTAATATTCGTAAAATATTACACCCTGGCAGAGAAAAAAAATGAAGGGATTCGTTGACAAATTTCTCTATCTATCGGTGACCTTTGAAAAATTTACGAACAGCAACGCAATAAACGGCAAGTTTTTGTGGGCAAAGAAAATGGCACGTCGCATATACCGCGATTGAGCTGTACTAATAACAAAACTGCTGCCAACCCGGATTAGGACACTGGCTGTCGTCGCTAGATTTACGAAACTGAAAATTTTCGGCCCGCCATAAAAGTTTTTATGGATTGCAAAAATGCTGAACAAGAACGACGAATCGTGAATGGCAATTAGAATCATATTTTACGAATTTACGGGAAGGGTGCGAAGTGTGCCAACGTAAAAAAAGAAATACCCACGTATAAATTGTCAACTTGTTCGACGACGAAGAAAAAGTTTCTTTTTCCAAAAAAAAAAACAACGAAATTCCACTGCTTTTTTTCTAATACTTGCTGGAACGTCAAGTTCAGTTGCTTCGAAAATTCGATCGATCGATTTAAATTTAAATTCCCCGCGTGGAAATTGATACGACTCGCTGGCGAAATGTCCACTGACCTAGAAAGCCGGGCAGCTGTCCCCAATTTTTCCGCCTCGGAGGCGAAAAGAACGCTGGCGAAGTATATACATATAATTTATAATCCGTGCGTCAATTCGAATCAGACATTAGACCGCAATGGCTTTTCAAACATCACCGCCTCGTTTCCAACGGGACAGAGAGAGAGAGAGAGAGAGAGAGAGAGAGACTCCGGACAATACTTTCGTAATACTTCAGGATGATCGTTCCTCGCGTGACGTATTGTGACCAAACGAATTCGCTTCGGGGACAATAGATACTAGAACGTTGGATAAAAGTGTAAAAATGCTGACAAGCGGATAATAAAGGAGGCAGTCAGTCACTTTGAGAGATGGTGCGGAACAAAGGGGGTTAAGGAAGAGGGTGAGTGGGGTGAGGGGGAAGGGGAAGGGGCACGGGAAAAGTTGCTCGGTGAGCCGTGAAAGGGAAAAAGATGGATGAACGCAAACGCAGTTGGCGTGCACAGAGGAGAAACAGAATTTGCGGCCGGTAATAAATCATAGCAGTCTTCTTTCCCTCCCTTTCTGCCGCGTCCCTTTTGCTTCTTATATATCGAACTCGAAGCACGGAACGACAGCGGGGCGCTACGTGATTATGTACGTATCGTTGCTTTCGAATGCAACCTATTTTGTGAAGCAAGTCGCGCCAAAATAGTGACCTGCCGGTCGTTCGTTTATCTTCGAGTTTACGAATTCTCCTCGCACTCCGCAATTAATAACAACGAACGTTGCTCGTCGAAAATTTTATTCCACGCTCGTCTGCTTGCACGTGTAGTAATGAAATTCTCTCTCTCTCTCTCTCTCTCTCTCTCTCTCTCGCTCTTTTATCTTTAACAGACGGTATTTTACAGGATACCCGTGGATCCTCGAAATATTCGAAGAAGTCGCAACGTATCGTTAGGCTTTAGGAGAAGACGGTTATTCGGCACGCGATATTATACGGCGCGCGCGAGCCATAATAACAGTAACGAGCGCTCAGGCAACAATAACATAGCTGCGTGCGACTGGCTCGTAATTATTTCTGACATCGCGTTTCATCGGCACGGTGATCAAACAGGTCACGTCGTCAGGCTTCCGACAGTGTGACAGTCAATACATTGACCAGGGAAGAGGCAGGAGTGGTGGTGGAAAAAAAAGAGAGAGAGAGAGGGAGAGAAAAAAAGAATATGTGCGGCAATAATAATAACAGGGGCGGGAAAGGAGGGTTATGGAGACGTAGACAGAAATACGAAGCTGGTGCAGCGCAGACAACTCGGCAAGGGCCTCGTTGCCTCATGTTTAAATCAGCGATAACGAGAAGCCTCGGTGACATATGTCACTGTCGCTGTCAGCCGGCTACACAATCAATATAGTCACCCACCCGTCCGTTCGTTCGTTCGTTCGTTCGTTCGTTCGTTCATCCGTCTGTCCGTCTGTCCGCCAGCTAGCTTGCTCTCAGCCTGCCCTCCTGTCTGCCTTGCCTGCCTTGCCTGCCTTGTCCGCCTGCCTGCCTGCCTGCCTGCCTGCCTGCCTGCCTGCCTGCCTGCCCTGCCTGCCTGCCTGCCTGCCTGCCTGCTTTTCAACCTTCACATGCATAGACCGTATTCCACCCGATAATGTATTCGGTACGTGACTTCGTATTCGACAAATACAAGAGCGTCCTCGGTCCGGCGCGGCGCGGCGCGGTGCGACGACGCGGCCGCGACCCGGACCAACCGCCATTGCCAACTATCTTCGCCGCTGGCCAAAAGACATTTGCTTTTATGGAAAAACGAATCGTGTAATAGGATGCTTTCCTCCACTTGAACGACCACTTTCGTCCTTCCTTTCAATTCTATTGTACATTATGCCGCTTTGCTGCTCGCGCTACACAATGGTCCCCTCTTGGTCTTCGTCGCTTCATGACCGCGCGAATCTTACCGATTCACTCGCGCGAGTTTGTTAATAAGCGTCTCTTTACGAGATTAAATTTGGCAGACCAGTCGAACCTGGATTTATTCGAATCGAGTTTAATTCAACTCGACGATGAGTTGAATTGAAAAGTACTCAGAAATGGAACGAAGCGAAGAAGATTATTGGAATAATCTTCCAAACAGAGTTACATGATCTTCAATAACCTTAAAGTGAATGAAGTTGATTTGAGAAGTATTGGAAACTATAAAGTGAAGCACAATGAAGAAAATTATTAAATTCC